TTTCGACCAGTTTTGGTAACATTTCCAACACCAGTGACAAATTCAGGTAGTTCTAACTACCATCACTTTTAGGAATCGGTCACTACCATGTGACAGCTGTCAAAGACTTACTGCCAATCCTTGGATTAAGAAACTGGAAGTAATACCGAGCAGCTCTGAGCTGGCTTACGCTGTAGGTACCCAACACATTGGGGCATGTCTGTGCTGGGAAGATGTCATGAATGTGACAGCTTTGTGCATAGTGCACCGCATTCAGCTGTGAAAATCCCCAGCTGAAAGCAAAATGTAAACAAATGGGTTGGGCAGAGTGGAAATGTCATTACCCAAATATGGCAATGCCCATATCTAGGAAATGGCTTCTCCCGATGGGAAACAGAAATTATCTACCAAATTAGATCCTCCTTACTTTTTATTGATAGCATAAGGCAGTGGGCAGATTCAAAATACGCCATTGAACTGAATACTGCTTATGAATCCTCCCAATGCAGTGTGCTGTCAATCAACAGCAAGGAGACCTGATGGGTCAGTTCATCATTAGGCAGCGCCTACGACTAATAAAACTCCTCGTCAGGTACTCCAACCTCTGTACTGAGCTCTGACGTTTTCATGTACGAGACTGACAAGTTCAAGAATCAGGTGCAAGCAGCTACAATTCCGATGGGGCTATGACCCATAATCAGGTGCCCCAGCTCTGCCTATGGCTGCTGTGTGTCCCTAATCCTGCAGCCTTCTGGAATAAGTGATGCCAGGAGGCTTCAGAATGAGGAACGCATCATTCTTGCCTAGGTGAGAATGGTTATGGATCACAAAAAAACCCAAAGAGCTGTGGTTTATATTGTGGATAAAGGGGGGAGTGCATGGACCTATAGTCACTCAGCGGAGGGAAGGCCTGCGGTAGTACCAGCAAACTGTGAGATACAGCATGGAGCCTGCAGCAAGATGGCATCTTGCATTACTTGCAATGCAGAACTACCAGATTACAGATAAAAGGTAATGAGTGGACTGACTGTGTAGAATATGTGGACAAAAACCTGAACTACATGGCAAATAACCCCCCACTAAATTGCAATACTTAACCTCCATTTTCACTGGAATGTACATTCAGATAGAGGACTTATTAACCTCCCTAGCGGTCTGATTATGTCAGTATTTCTGTGCTCAAAGTGGTAAATTTTTTTGCATGGAAATATGTATTTTTTTTATTGTAGGCCTGTAATTTTTAGGAATAACTCACTGAAATCTGTCCGAACAAAAGTCTAGTAAACATCCCGGGTATGTTAAAATTTGAAACACAAAATCATAAATTGTAATTTAATAATCATAAAAATAATAATAATATAATACATTTAATTCAATAATATAATCAAACCAAAAACACTGAAATTGGAAATATAGCGCCAAGTTCGCACATCACTGAGCCAAGTCCCAAAATCGTTTTCAGTGTCTGACGACGAATTTCCCCATGAATCATTAATACTCAATTCTGCAAGTAGTTCTAATTTACTATTGCTGTTTTCGAGCTGGTCTAAAACCGCTTTTGACCTAAAGGGACGCTTTTTGGACGCCATGGACTTTTCTAAGTTTCCAGGCAGAAAGAACAGTCAAAATGCAGGCAGGGCACAGGACGAAGCACTAGGGACAAAATGTATGTGAAATGGTTTGATACAGTAATGTTAGACTATGTTATAAATCTCCTGCATGGGTATTTTGATATAGGGATTTCAAATATGGCCGCCACGCCGGAAATGACGTCACCACGCTCCCCAGAATCCTCCTCGCGTACAGAAGTGTTGCGTCATGGTAACACGCGACTTCCTCAGGGTTAACCCTGAGGAAGGCACGTGTTACCGTGACGCAACGCGTCGGTACGCGAGGAGGATATGCGAGGAGGATTCTGGGAGCGCGGTGACGTCATTTCCGGCGTGGCGGCCATATTTGAAATCCCTATATCAAAATACCCATGCAGGAGATTTATAGCATGGGGTCTTGAAGGCCTGTGAGAAAACGAATATAAATGTGAGTGGGCAATCTTTTTCATACTTACATCAGTAAATAAACAGGTTTACACTATGTTAGTCTCTCTTGTTTATATATGAACCGAGGAGCTGACTGCTGATAGAGTATTAGAGGCGAGGCCCTGGTGAGCTATCAAAGAGGTGTCCTGTTTGAAGCGAGCTGACCCTGTGGGGTCGGGGTAAGGAGGTGAGAGGCCATCACGGCTAAAGTTTGGAGTTACACAGTGTGGTCACGTGTGATATAAGCATGAAGATTGAAGAAAAATAGTTTTTTGTTGCATTTGGACAATATATTTATTTTCTGTGGATTTATTTATCAACAGATGGTTGGAGTGATTAAGATTAGCACTATTTTGCACTTTATTTGTAAGAATTGGAATACACGGTTTGCACTTTCTTTTTGTATGCACTATTTTGCACATTAATTTAGTACCTTGTGGTATTATTTGGAGCACTTGTATAATTAGTGTTGCATTTTATATTTATAATTATTTATTACATTTAGAGATAGCACTGCACTTTATATATATATTTATGTGATTTTAGTGTATTTAGTGAAAAGTCACTTTTTCACATTTTTAAATTTCCCGCCGTTCCGTCCCCATACGTCCTGACGTCGCAGGGAACAGAACCCAGAAGACAGATGCCGGCATCGGCCGGAGGACATTGCCAGGGACACTGCAGAGGGGACATCGCGGGAGCGCAGGACAAGGTAAGTGCAGAAGAGATCCCCAAGCAACGCTGCAAGGTATTCCCGAGTGTAGCTAGCTCGGGGTTACCGCTTGTGGTGCTGAGACTTTACCCCGAGCTACACTCGGGAATACCGCCAGGGGGGTTTAAAAAGGGAGTTTTTGCCACAGAGCATCCTGTAACTTTTCTATATGTTGAACTACTGAAGCATTATATGAAAATAAGTGCCTTTATTTTTATCCATGTGACTATTCTTTTCAAATCTTATTGGACTTATTGCTAAAAACAGCTGCTGTTTAAAATATCCTTATCCTTGTATCCTTGGTCTATGAATTGAAGATGTTTAACCAGACGGTGTAAAAGTTTGTTAAAGGTCAAGTTCGCCTTTTGTAAAAAAAATAATAAATGCACATCTTTTTGCAGGTAAAAAAAAATGTGCATTTTTTTTTACATTACAGCCTGTAAAGCATTGCATCAGCAGATCACGGGTGCAATGCCAGGATCCTGCAGACTCTCATTAAGCTGTCTGCCCATACCTCCCATACAGGCAGGCAGTTAGTGAATGATAAAGAATTAAACGAAGAGCTCTCACCAGCTCCTCCGCAGTTCATTCCACAATGGGAGATGGTACTAGTATGCTATTCATTCAAAGGAAACTTTGAATGAATGACATAGCCATGGGGGCACAAGTCCACACTGGTTTCAAAAAGTGACAGTGGGTGCAGGGAGAAGCCCCGGCAGCAGGAGTTGTGTGCTCAGGAGCATGTTACACCTTAATACGGGTGTTACATGCTTCTAAAGGTAAACTTATCTATTAGCACCCCCCACCACCCTTTCACCAGGAGATCAGTGTACATCCCACTTGCAAATCTGTGGAAGGGTTGCTGAATAGCATTGCTCAATAGCACCCTCTCCCTTCCAGAAACAGATATCCCATAATGTTGGATGAAGGAAACGGAGACAGCGCAGATGAAAAGGTGGGTGACCAACAGTGTACACCGAGCCCACACAAGCCCCTCCCCCTAAGCTGTCCAGTGAGAAGGGAAAATCTAGAGCTCTGCCCTCGAATATTAAGGTCCTTGTACTTCCTCGGCAGAATTTTTTTTACTGCAAAGAAAACTATTGATTACAAAGCAAAACACCCACTCGCAGCCTGCTATTTTGGACTGAAAGATCAGATCTGGAGAGCAGGCATTATTCTCTGTGATCAGTACTTTCTTTGCAGTAAAAACATAAGATGGAAAAGAAGGCACAGGGCCTGACTATATATTAGACCGCACGTTGCAGATTTGTCCGCCCTGTCTAGCAGATTTCAGAGCAGGACGGGGCAGGGGTTGTGTGTCGTCTGGTTACACTGAGGTGGGGGTAAGCACCGGAAATAATAAATATGTAATTATATTTGGAAACCCTTGCACAGATTTGAATGGGGCCAAGTGCTTTGTGTTCTGGCTCCCCCCTGAGGGGTTTAACAATCATTTTCATCGTCAGCTGAGAGTTCTTCATTAAGGACAAAAGCCAACACTTAACTGATTTGAGCCGTAAATCTTTTTACCTTTACTCACATATCTGCTAAAATACTAAAGTGGTAGTCAAGTCGTTTTTTCACTTGTAGCTACAGGTAAGCCTATAATAAGGCTAACCTGTAAGTAATGTAAATATCTCCTAAATGTGCACCCGTGTAGGAGAGATTTACTTGCAAAGGAACACCGGCGCATGTGCTCTAAAGAAACGGCATGTCCGTGCTGTTCATTCAGAGTTGTGCGCCATAAAAAAATGACTCCCATGCGTATCCGGAGCCCGCGAACCCGGAAGAGGGATTGGGTGAAGATGGAAGCCCTGTCAGCGATGACAGCACACTGCTGGAGGGCTTAGTTTTAAGGCAGGATTCACATAATGCAATTCATACTAGCACATTATGCCATTGTCTGGCAGGGTTTTTTTCTTTTTTAACCACTTGCCTACAGGGCACTTATACCTCCTTCCTGCCCAGGCCAGTTTTCAGCTTTCAGCGCTGTCACACTTTGAATGACAATTGCGTGGTCATGCAACACTACCAATATGAAATTTTTATCATTTTTTGGAGACAGAAGAGCTTTCTGTTGGTGGTATTCAGTCACCTCTGGGTTTTTTATTTTTTGCTAAACAAACCAAAAACCACTGAAAATTTTGAAAACAAAGAAAACGTTTTTTTCATAGTTTTTGTTATACATTTTGTAAATAAGTGATTTTTTTCCTTCACTGATTTCCGCTAATGAGGCTGCAGTGATGGGCACTGATAGGTGGCACTGATGAGCACTGATGAGGAGGCACTGGTAGGTGGCACTGATGGGCATTGACAGACATCACTGATGGGCACTGAAAGGCAACACTCATATGGCACCGATAGGCAGCACAGACTGGCACTGTTAGGCGGCACTGATAGGCAGCACTGACTGGCACTGATTGGCAGCACTGATAGGTAGCACTGACTGGCATTGATAGGTGGCACTGATAGGTAACAGTGAAAGGCAGCTCAGATGGGCACTGATATGTGACATTGATGTGCACTGGTAGGCACTGATATGTGGCATTGATGTGGCACTGGCAGATGGCATTGATGAGCACTGGCAGATGGCACTGATGGACACTGACAGGTGGCACTGCTGGGGCTACACAGATCATCAGGGCACACTGATCATCCGTACCCTGATGATCAGTGTACATGTCCCCTCTGAGTAAAGCAGATTACCGGCTCTCCTCTTCTCACGAGCTCTCAGTGTGACAGCTCGTGAGGAGAGAAATGCCAATAAGCGGCATTTCCCGATTTACATGTGATCAGCTGTGATTGGACACAGCTGATCACATGACCGAGCCGACATCTTCGGCTCTTTCCGTTGATCGGTGATTCACTGTGTCTGAGGACACAGCGCACCACCAATCGCCACGCATGCGCGATTAGAATGGGAGAACATCATATGACGTCCTCCCAGAACAATAGAACTGCCTTGCGCCTATCATTACCTTATATGGTGGGTGGGAGGCGGTTAAACAAGGTCGCTGTTTACTACCGCTTTAAAGTGGACCTTACGGTAACTTTACAACTGTGAATGAATACACAGCTCACATCATGCAACCATATACAATCAACAGTATACATATTATCAGGGATGTTGAATTGCTATGGCCCAACGCCCAGGACATGTAGTTTTTTACCTTCAGCACTGCTGCGGGCAAGCAGTGGGCTCACCTGTCAAGTGGAAGATTCAGGCAGCAGTGCTGCCACCCGAATGCTTCTATACAGTGCCAGCCTCTCCACCCCCTGTGTGAAGCTCCCCCTGCCCACTGTCTCCCAGGCTTCTCTTGCTCATCTGCGGGCTTGGGACCGGCTCACCGCCGGCGGCCAGAGGGAAGGGAGGAGTGCGGACATGTCTACTCCCTCCCCTTCTTGTCATTATAATGTCACTTCTGGGTCCCCGTTGAGAGATTCCCAGCAATTGAGGCCGGAAAAGAATGTAATGCGGTGCGATGTGCACTGCATTACATTTAGGGGAGCAGAGGAAAAATATCCATGGTCTTTAAGACCTTGGATGTCTCAATAAAGAGAGAACCTGTCACCAAAAAATCATCACATAGGGGACATTGTCCCCTATGTAATGAAAAAAAAAAAAGTTTTTATTTTTAATTGTAAAACATGATCGTTACACCCAAGCACATAACATCCCCCCTCCCCAAAAAAATCTGAGCCCCCCATATATACGCACATACAAACGTAAAAGCACACGCTGGGGCGCCTACGCAAACTAAAACGTTGATTGTGATACACCTATTAAATATCACAGCGCACGCCAGAATGAAAGCAATAATTCTAGCACCAGACCTCCTCCGTAACACTATACTGATGACCTATTAGGGGCTTTAAATGCGTCACCTATAGAAAATATAGGGTACTGAAGTTTGTCGCCATTTCACGAGTGCATGCAAATTTAAGGTTTGATATTTATGTACTCTGTGTAACCTCATCTTTTATATTTTATAAAAAAATTGTTAATTTTAGGGGACAAAAAAAAAACAACAAATTATCCTAACTTTTTGCGGTAATATCATGCGACATATAAAAATTTAAACTACCACTATTTTATTCTCTAGGATCTACGATTTCAGAGAATATATCATGTTTGGGGGTTTTATGTAATCTTCAGGCCTAAAGTGATTTGTTTAAATCTTGTGCGACACTCCCCTTTCCTGACGAGTACTCAATCAGTGCTCATTACACTGCAAGGTCTCTCTGCTCTCTGCTAGTCCCCACATGCGGTGCTGGAGACAGGCAGGGAGGGAAGGAGGAGATAAACAGTGCAATGTTAAAAATATTAAACGTTTAAGTCACCATAAACCCCTTTTGTTTTTAAAACATTCCTAATATCACCTCAAATTTCAATACGGTTTTGGTTAGAAAAAAAAAAGGGAAAAACAGACAAGCAGATTGGGACACCAATTTAGTCCCTTGGACAATTAGTTTTTTCAAAAATTTCCACACCCCTGAAGATATAGCTTATGTAATTTAAAAGCAGTTTTGAGCTCCTAGGCCAGGGGTCGGCAACCCCCAGCACGCGTTCCAGATATGGCATGCTGTCACATTTATGGTGGTACGTGAGCCTGGAACACCTCTCACACATCAGTAAAGCCAGCCAGTGGTTGTGGCTGGCTAAACAGGAGATAGCGCTGCCGATTCCTTCCTGCCCGCCTTTGATGCTGTCCAGCTCACTCTTCTTGCCTGCATTTTGAGCTCATCCAGATCTCCCTACCACCCCCCAACTCCCTCAATACTTAGCTAAGCCTCATCGCGATCCAGCGATGTGAATGACAGCCTTGGCTGTTCGGGGTCTCTGCCTCCTCATTTGCTGAGAAAGCAGCGTTAACCATTGGCTCCCGCTGCTGTCAATCACAGCCAGTCAGCCAATGAGGAGAGGGCCAAGCCGTTGCTCCATGTGTGAATGGACACACGGCACAGCGGGTGCCCCATAGCAAGCTGCTTGCTGTGAGGGCACCCAACAGACAGGCAGAGCCAGGAGAGCTTGTGGGGAACCTGAGAAGAGGAGGATCCAGGCTGCTCTGTGCAAAACCACTGCACACAGCAGGTAAGTATAGACATGTTTGTTATTTTACCAAAAAAAAAAAATGAACCTTTAGAATCGTTTTAAAGGTTGATCTGAGGCATGAAGGTGCAGGAATTGGGGTGATCTGAAGCCTATAGTGCACGAATCAGGGTGATCTGAGGTGTGAAGCTGCAGAAATTGGGCTGATCTGAGGTGTGGAGGTGCAAAGCCCAGTATTCAGTTCAAAAATGAAAATTTATTTTTGGATTGAGAGTGTGAAGTTGACTTATTTTTTATGTTGCTGGCGCTCTCAATTTCTTTGAAAGCATTTTTCAGCACACTATACTCAAAAGCATGCCTACCCCTGTTCTAGGCTATGTCATCATCAGCCTACTGCCAACAAGAGTGATAATTTCCTCAATCTCCTCTTCAGGAATGATCAGACTGCAACGCTGTAACATTGTAGTCAAAAAGTGGAAAATCTGCAGCAGTGGGATAACAAGTATCAAACATTAGTGAACACAACCAAGACCTGCACAGGCCTCAGGATTTCCATGATAGTGTCATGCACTTACATCAGAAATTACACCTGATGCCAGGTCCTATTTAAAGTTAGCTAGTTAAAGTGATTGTAAAGCTTTAATTTTTTTTTTCTAATAAAAATGGAGTACTTACCTTCTCTGTGCAATAGTATTGCACAGAGCAGCCCCTAACCTCCTCTTCTCAGATCCCCTGCAGGTGTTCTTGGTTGTCACCAAATGAAGCCGCTTCCTATAGGGGTTAACCACAGGATTTGACTGACAGCAGCAGGAGCCAATGGTTACCACTGTTTTGAGTACTGTGAGCAGAGGAAGAAAGAGCAGCACTGCTTCACTGGATAGAGACAGGACCCAGGTAAGTATTTAGGGAGGTGAGGAAGCAATATAACCAATGGGACATTTATTAACCTTAATGCAAGGAATGCATTCAGGTAAAAATGTCCTGTCTTTAGAACCACTTTAAACCCTAACTAGATGATATTTTGTTTGCTAAAGATCCATATATTATATACAAGGGGAGTTCAAATCAAACCAGGACTTTTGAGTTTATATAATAAAAGAACAAACTTCAAAGAGTGGAAACAACATTTATTTTTCAACATACTCCCCTGCTACACTTATCCCAGCATTTAAATAATGCCTGGAAAGCTTCAGGATAGAAAGATTTGTCAGTACAACTGAACAATACTAGGGCAGTCTGCTTCACGTAGTGAATGATTGTGTTCACCATTACCACAGAAAGATTCGTTTCTGGTGCAATTTCACAACAGGTTATGCATCGATTATCCAGGATCAGGCAATCCCACGTACTGAATGTTCACAGGTATGGCTGCTGTGGGCTGGGAACCACCACAACCACGATCGCCACTGACGGACGTACAGCCATCTGTGAAACATTTACACCATTCAAATGTATTACTGCAGCTGAGTGTTTCATCACTGTACTGTCCTTGAAGTCTTCTGTATATATCCCTGGGTTTTACGCCTTCATTCACAAGAAGCTTCATCACCATATGCTGTTCCATGCTTGCACTAACACTGTTGCCTGCCATCTTAACGGTCCCAGGACTGGCCCGCGACACGTGCACTGCCTATCAGTAATAGGACACACTTGCCACTTACTACTGCGTGTAGTACCGTACTGCCATGCTAGTATCCCTTTTTATACCAGTAAAATTAAAGGTCCAGGTTTGACTTGAACGCCCTTTATATAAATTGCATTTTTTCTGATTGCTTTCTTCACTCTTTATGATTTCAGGGTTATTGGTCTCCTCCAGTATTTAACTATTTCCTGTCAATATGCACTTACCTCATCATCTACACCACATAATTGCACTGGCACAGCTTAAAATGGACCATGCCTGATCAATTTGTGCGGACACAGCCACTTGTAGTCTCTACTTGGATGTGACTGAGTGACAATGCAGGGACTCAATTATGAGACAGTTGTCAACAAGTGCCTAATCAAGGACTTTCATGGCAGGATACCCTTCAATAAGAATAGCTTATTGAAAATGCATGCTGGGAAAAAAAAAAAAAAAAGACTGAAAATAACTTAAAGGAGAACTATAGGCAAAACCTTTTTTTTTTCCATTTTGGATAGAGTAAGGGAGGGTTTATAACCCATCAGATTTTATTTTTGCCATCTTTGTCCCATTGCGGAGATTTATCTTCACTCAGTGTCCCATAGCCAAACAGGGAGTGAGAGAAAATCCCCGCAAATTAAGGGAATTCCTTTGGGACCCCTAGGACACCAGAACTAGTGTCCCCAGTTGAAGACTTCCCCTTTCTTACTTTTCTGGGGACAGCCCAAAATTTGGGATTTTCTTTTACTTTCACTTTTAATGACAAGGGTAAACAGGCCAAATAGGGTGAAAACAGGGGCAAACACAACAATAAAAAAGTGACAGTGTTCTAATCCCTCTCAACTCTATTCAAAACTAAAAAAAAAAAAAGTTTTGCCTTTAGTGATACTTTAAATTTTACATCAACCCAACAAAGCTTATATGACATTTGGTTTTAGATGTACTTTAATCATGTTTGTATATTTGAAATGTTTTAGGAGTTGTAAATGTTTTACTTTCAGTTAGATGTTGCAATCATTCACTCAAACAAACATTGCTTCTCTTGCCATTGAAGTTATGCTGTTGCTCTGGACAAGATAAATAGTTCAACAAATGCAAAAGCATACAGCTCAAAGCTATGGAGACTACGTGTGTGTTTAATCTGATGTTCCAAGAGTAGCTTTATGTGAGCATCAACATGTACAAAATACAGATCTGGAGTTTGTTAAAATCAAT